GGGGGGGGGGGGCAACGCACACCTATAGTTGTTTGCTTGAAAGTAAAACCAGTTGAAGTTTTTATTAAATGACAATTCTTCTTTCACAAAATGTTATGGAGTGTTTCCTTGTAATTATCCACTGCTACCTGAGTCTTGTTTCTTTTTACACAAAATAAGGATGAAATAACATGATCATTTTCACAGTATCTTTGAATTGGGAGCACTAAGAACTGTAAGATTATAGCCTTCCTTGTATTGATGTGGCAGGTCTTAGTGTCAGCAGTGGCAATACCAGCCAACTACCGCTGTAGCTAGACTGTAGACTAAACTGACAAGCAAAGTGGAAGAAGCTGTTCCATTCTGTTGCCAAAAAGCCCTACATGGACCTGTCTATGCAGTGAACAGCAACCAAGTTCTACTTGGAGTCTTCTCCACTGCACTCAATTGCATATTATTTTGGTTTTAGTATACCTAGTATACACTGCTGGATTGTATGGTTTTTGAAGTTGTTTTAAATCTGAAACGTTCTGAGTACAAAATGGATGGATCTGTCTATGAAAAATATCCCAGTGCAGTTTGACCATTCTGGAAGCTTAGTTTGAAATGTTTCTGGAATGGTTGAAACACTTCCTGGATAGTTGGAATAGCATCAGAACACTTCTTGTAAAATTGGAAGAGAGTCGCTTTGTGTGAGATGGGTGGCTATATAAATGTGACTAATAAATAAATAAATAAATAATAGTTCTCACTTTGAATTGGAACAGGGCATTTCAAGCTTAAAATACTTGAATTTGAAATACTTTCCACACCACTAATTGTCACCGTATTTGAAATGAGCTGTTTTGTATTTTTCACCATTTGATGTTGAGAGAAATATTATAGCAGGCAGTGTCCCTTAGGCTTTTTTTCTTCTGTTCCTAGTCCTTTTGAACCTAGCACCATTTGGGACTAATCAAAATCGCTCTCCAAAGATTTGATGAAGTGACAGCAAGCAAGAGGGTCAGATTAACAAAATTTATTGGGAAATACATTGCTAACATGCTGTTTTTACGTTTGTCATCTCTGAGAAGAAAGAAACCTGCAGTGAGACTCTGGGGACATGATGAAGGAAGATGTAGGGTCAGAGAGGCTAGGAGAAATGAGGACATCAAAATCAGAATAGAACTAGCCAGCACTTGACATAAGCCTTGCCCTGCATTTACTCTTCTAAGCTGAAGGCAGGAGGCCTGGCTGCTATGTTGCTCATCCAGCAATAAGTGTCGCCAAAGAGATAGTCCTATATGAGAGTTAAAAGTAACATCCCACATAATAATGTCTTGGATAACAGTTGTAAAGCCTGACAATTCTGGAGATGAATACGGCAATTACATCTTTTTCAACTTTTTCTTCTCTCTTGCTTCAACTACAATGGTGCTTTTGCATGCGGTCAGAAAAAAGGCAGGGCAGTGCCTCATAAATGGGATGAAGACATTGATAGAGAATGGATTATAGCAACTCTGCAGGGTCTTTAGGACCAACTCCACCTCCAGATTTGGTGCAAAGAATTGTTTATTGAGGTAAGCAGTCCAGTAAAATTCTGCTGCAGTCATTTCACACTCATTTGAAAATATACATGCAACTGAAACACTTTGCCAGATCAGGTGTACCATCTGCTTCCTTGTCCCAGGCCTTAGCCAGTGCATTCCCTAGTCCCATGTCACTGCTGATGGTAGCTGTAGCATACTTTGGTATCAGTCCTATCAGGGATGTGTGCCTTTTCAGATGTCATCCTAAAATTATTAAGGGCATACAGAGAAAGATTAGTCCTTTCATTGAGAGAGGAACATATCCCAAATTTATGAAATGAAATGCTTTAAATATATATATATCAACTTCTCCATGTTCTGGCACAGTGGCTTGAAATGCCAATGGGGCACAAGCCACATCCCATCCCAATTCTCCAAACACATTAGCTTGTGAATGTGGCAGCATCTGACAAATTGCTAATGTGGAGTCAAGCTAACAGAAGCTCAGAAGTAGTTAAAGATGATACCTAAATCACAGAGACTCATTCTGCCCTTTCCTATTACTTACATCAAGATCATCCATGGCTGGGGGTGGATCTTTCTTGGTGACCTTTTGCATGAGCTGTAAGGGAACAAAAAGATTAAAGCAAACAGTGCTGCTATTTAATATTGAGAAATGTGCATGGGCTTGGCTTCCTATCTTTGGCTTATTTATTTTAAGATTGGTTCTCTGCCCACTGGAAAACACACCATCTCAGTCTCAGAATCTTGGATAATACTGCATGTTTCCACATCTATTATGAAACCATAGACCACCTTTCCCCAATCTGGTGCCTGCCTACCAGGCCTCCACTGACTCCAGCCAATGTGGCCATTGCTGAACATAAAACAGAAGGCCATGAATTGTGCATTTCATTTACTTTCCCTCTAGTGTTTTGAATCTATCCACAAATGGGCATAGTCAAGCCTTATCTGTGCTCTCCAGAAGTATAAGGGTTGTAAAGCCCATCATCTCCATTAATTGTGGCCATGCTGTGGGATGATGGGGTTGTATCTGAAGTGTACTAGGTTGGCAAAGGCTTTCATTAACTATTCAGCCTTCAGGGTATCCCTACCCAAATAGTATAATTAAAATATTAACAGATATTTACATGAGAGAGTATTAAAATACTGGATAATATTCCTGTTATCCAGTGAATAACAGTACTGAATCTGGCTAACTAGATTTAAGTTGTCTTACTAAGCTATGTAAAAAGAGGGCAGGGCAGTATATAGACTATCATTTTTGAAATCTCAAAACCAGGGAAAGGTCATTTTTTTTTCTCTCTTACTATAGCCTTTTACCTCTTGGAGATTAACGTGAGCATAAATTTGCATTATGAAACACTTCATGTATAAATGGTACATAAATAATACAAGAATTTATGGCATGTACTGTATAATAATAGTACAATCCTGCCTTTGATAAATGGTGGTTTTCTAGCTATTACTTCTGTTCAATAACATTGCCAAACAGAATCACTGCATTCTATAATATATGTATAAGACTCTTGTCATTCCTACTGTCACTGTTATATACATAAAACTAGTAATAGGATGCAAAATGGTCACTGTCAGCTTTCTCAGACACTTCAGTTTTGCTGACTGAGACTAAAAGAAGTTTCAGAATTCTGCCTTGATCTGACAATTGGGCTCACCTCTGCATATTGTTCAACCATGGCTGCTTCCAGCTCTTCATCTCCTTCCCAATCTCTCCAGTTATCAAAGTCCACCGACAGCCAAGCTGGCTGTAAATAAGATAAACAATTGCTTACAGCATGGTTCCATCCTTGCTACTGTTATTATTATTAAAAGTAGCATTTAAAAACCAAATGATAATTTCCCCATCTTTTCAACCTAATGGAGAGAGAACTGGTGCTTAATCAGAATATATTTCACCCAATCAGCTATTTCCCCCTTTAGCAGGGTTCACCAGCCTTTCTTCCAGCAACTCTACTGGTATAAAATCTCAGCTAAGTCATGTTAACTGCCCCTCTTTGATTAAAAAACAAAAAGACAAGTTTTCTATAGAGATTGTTAAGCAAGCAGGACGTAGCCTTACCGATATCTCCATTTAATACTGAGATTGAGTTGTACAGGTAGTCCTTGTTTAGCAACTGCTTTGTTTAGCGACTGTTCACAGTTAAAATGATGATGAAAAAGTAACTTTGCAACCAGTCCTTGCATTTACGCAGGTCTGTAAAGCAAAGGAAAGCTGAAGTAAAATCGTAAGCACAGTCGTGGTTTCACTTAGTCTCTGCTTTGCTTAACAACCAAGTTGCCAGTCCCAATTGTGATCACTAAACAAGGGCTACCTGTATTGGTTCCTTAATTAAACAGGGAAGATGAAAGAAGTCCTACCTTGAAGTCTTCTTTGGTGAGTCGTGGCCAGGGCACTTTGTCCTTCCATTTGCGTGTAAAGAGTGTGATGGACCTGCCTGAGCGTTTATTTTGGGAATCCTGAAAGCAATTACATTGTAGTAGAAAAATGTCTGAGTTTTACCAGTTAACTGTTCTGTAAGTAACTTATAATTGCAAGTAGTTTTATACATTTAAGGTGGGGTGGTCCTACAAATACTGATGCAGTCCATGCTTGAGGGCCACACTTTTGCCCTTATTTGATTTAGAAAGTTCTAACCATCCACACTAGTCAGGGTGATATCTTTGTTTGGAAATAGAATAAACGAGATGCCTAAGGGCACCCTTAGCCTTTTTTTCCATATAGTTTAAAAGCATGTTTTAAAACTCTGGAAAAAAATGTTGTTTGTACATCAGACTTTTTGTCAATAACTGGGAAAGGATTCTTCTACTGAATATAAAATAGAAAAGGGAGAAACACATAGTAATAAAGCAGCACAAATGAGAAAGGCCAGAAAATACTGTGTTTAACCAATGCTTATATTTACACATTTTCATTTAAGCAATACTACAGAAATAAAACATTGGTTAAAATAAACTCTTAAAATAGAGCTCACCAAAAGGAAATAGTGGAGATATGCAATGGTATAATCCCATAGATGGATTCACTCTATCCAATACATCACTGAACAGTTGAATCTACACCTTAAAAAGACAGAAGAGTAGCGCTAAGATCACCCACACCTATGGTATTATGCCACTGTTCCTTAAAAAAAAACTGATTTTTTACAGTCTGAAAGAGAAAACAGAAAATTTGCAACACAATAATTTGTTGACAACATCATGTACATGTGTAACAGAGTTAACAAAGTGTGATTAATCCAAAAATGTACTTCCTGACAAAAATTTTCTTGTGCAATCATCTTCCTTTATTTATGGAATTTTCTATGTAGGGCTTGTTAAATGTTGTCTCCCATTTATAACCCCCATGAACAGGGCTATGTTGTATGAAAACACACGTTCAGTGTTTTCTGGCTATACATAGAGGGTTTTTTTCCTAAACCAAATCTGTCAAAGAGGAAAAGATGAATAGCCGCATTACATCTTGTAATTGTTAGCGCTAAAAGTTGTGCAGCTGGAAGCACCCATATGCAGATAAAGAAGCACAGAAGCAGACACAAGTGTATACAGTAGCAACAAATGTGAGAAACAAGACCTGCCGTTTTGTATGAACTGCTTGTTGCAAGTATTTATCTGGCAGATCACATGAAGAGGCTGTAAAGTGCCTTGCATCCAGTTTTCCCCCAAAATGCCACCCTTGATAAACGAACATTCTGTCCCAGTAATAGCCACTCATTTCCTCTACATATCATCCAGGGCAGCCCATCAAGAGATCTAGGAATTCCTGTCTGAAGAAATAAGACGTTCTTTTATTCTAGCCTGACTTTGGTTCTGCTTCTGCTCACAGAGGTGCATTTCTCTCAATGAATCTCTAACTAGGAAGGCAGTTTTTCCCAACTGGTTCAGTTTTCAGCCGGAGTCCTGCTGTACAGAGATTTTTCAGAAGTATCTATCAAAGAAAAATAGATGTACTCTTCTATGTTAGGCTCCCATAAACTGGTCCTCTCTATTCAGCTGCTTACCTTGGAATTCACTCGGGCATAAAAGTGAATCTCGTTGTACATTTCAATGCCATCAGTATTCTTACAGCTGCAGAAAGATACACAGTAAATACTTATCTGAAATTCTCTCTTTTCACAAATGCTATTCCAAATAACTGACCTGGTAGGCTAGCTATTATACTGCTTAAGTGTTATTAATTCACATTCTAATGGCACACTTTCCATTTTTAATAAAGACTGGAGTTGTGTGAAGAATTAGACTAATTAAAGTCCACTGATCATGTATGAATGAGAAAGAGATGGAAAATTGACAAACTTATACAGTAACACAATCCAATATGTTTTTTGTGGAAGTAAGTTCCACAGTGTTCAACAGAAAATAAAAGCTAGCCATTTGTACTTGCTTACTAAGGCCAACATTTATCCTCCTGTATGTTTTTTTCCTGAAATAGAAGATAATATTCTCTTACCTGAATATCACCTTGTAATCATCAAGGTCCACTTTTACATCCTTGCTGTCTTCCACACAGAATTCAAGAAATACATACCGTGGACGGTCATACCACAGGGTCTTGGCTGGTTGTCTTAAGGAAACAAAGGAAGAATGTACATTGGGATGGTAAAAGTATGAATGGCATCTCCAGAGAAATGATGGAGCCTAAAGCTATTTTTTTTATTATTATTATTATTATTATTATTATTATTATTATTGTTATATTTCTTTTTAATATATAACTTAAGGCATTCCTGCCTCCTGTTTTTTAATATATAACTTAAGGCATTCCTGCCTCCTGTTTTTTAATATATAACTTAAGGCATTCCTGCCTCCTGTTTTTTAATATATAACTTAAGGCATTCCTGCCTCCTGTTTTTTAATATATAACTTAAGGCATTCCTGCCTCCTGTTTTTTAATATATAACTTAAGGCATTCCTGCCTCCTGTTTTCCCCACAACAACCCTCTGAGGTGGGCTGGGCTGAAAAAGAGTGACTGGCCCAAAGTCACCCAGCTGGCTTTCATGCCTAAGGGAGGCCTATAACTCACAGTCTCCTGGTTTCTAGGCCAGCACCTTAACCACTACACCAAACTGGCAAATTATAATATAGACAGTCCCATTTTAAATTATTACAATGTATGTTTCATTTTTTGTAGCTTTTATTCCCAATTTGAAAAGTCTTGCATGGATTGTTATACTTTTTAAAGCAGATTTATGTGACTGCCATTATAAAACTGTTTTATTTAGACAGTACAGAACCATCTTCTCCAGTCACTATTGCTCTGAGCAGCTGGACTGATGGAGGAACTACTCACAATAGTCACCAGAACCAGATGTCCTGTGAAGAAGCAGATAAGGAGGAGTAGCTACCTCAACTTACTGTATCCAGCTGGATTGGAGAATTTCTTCTCACAGAGCCCAATGAAGCAACTGATCAGTGAGGAACAACAGCAGGACCTTTAGCTCTGGAAGCAGTGGCATCATCTGTGCTCTGACCGGCCCATTTCCCTCATACATACTTGGCTATTATTAGGAAATGATAAGGCCTTAGGAAATGGCACCTGGGTTTTCCTCTTTTCATTTTCTTTCTCCATCCTCTTTTCCTTTTATCCCTTAGCAGATTTAAACTCCAGGGCAAACTGTCTATTAGTAGTAGTAGTAGTAGTAGTAGCAGCAGCAGCAGCAGCAGCAGCAGCAGCAGCTGTGGGATGAAACTGCTTATAGATTATATATATGTATGCATAACTTGGCAATTAATGGTGAACAAAGTTTTAAACGCTGTGGCTTACAGTACTGTATGAATCAGAGGATGGTTTTTTTCTTCTTGCCTGCCAATCAAACACGTACATACACACACACAGAGGTCTGCTTGTACTCTATATGGCACTATATTATATCCCTTCCCTTTTGGTATAGATCCCTCTGAGTTCAAGATTCCTGAGATTTGACTGAGGAGACTTTTTTTTTTCCCTGAAAAGGAAATGTTAGGCTGAATTATGCCTATCATTGAACAGGGAGGCCTGCTTGCTACTCTGTAACATATCAGAGCTATTTCTGTCTTCTCAATTTGGAGAAGGGTACTCAAGAGGAGCATGCAATATAATTTAATTGGAAAGTTGTAATAAATTGAAGGTTTAGTGTTGCTGGCACAAAATACTACATTTTAATACAGTGGATATTAGGGATTGGAGGAAGTAGGCTTCCTGCCCAAGAAGGCAAGGCCACAGGTTTTCATTCTATATTGAGGGGATCCCAGAAGTCAGATGATCAGATCAGCTGGAAGAGAAATCCAGAACAATTCCTGTCAGAGTGGTCACCACACCGCAAGCACTCACCTTGCCATGAGGGCTGCCGCTTATTGTGCTCCGTGTCCCCCTGGCTCCCTTCCCTGGCAGGCAGACGGGCCTACTTGATTCCCCTCCGGCCAGGCGGAGCTAAATTCAGAGGCTCCCCCTCCCCAGTAGCTGCTGCCCAGCACTGAGCTACGATTCCAGAAATGTCTTGATGCATCCCACAAAATGTCATAGATGCCACAGATCTATTTTAACTGCGTAGTCACTTTGACTATTATAGTTAAGTTGAAAAAAAGAAAACTTCCTTGGGTATTATGCCAGTTTCAATAAGCTAACGTAAGAGAAGTTATTTTTGATATTATGGCATGCACTTTTGTGGACCGGTGTAAATTTGCTTTCAAGATAAGGCTTAGAGAGATTAGGTGCAAGATTTCTGCTTAGCAAGTTAATTCTTGATTTCATTATAGAGACAAATTGAGTTGCAATTTCTGACATTTTAATTGTGTTCATAGGGAGTAAGCCTCTTTGAAAAAGTAGAAATTTCCAAGTGTGTGTGAGATTGTTCTGCAAGTATAATTCGTTTGTTTTATAACTTAAGGTATCGCAACAGGGTAACTGAACTCTCGTGCGTATATACATTCACTCCCTTTCTTTGAAACAATCAACATTATATATTATGTATTTAAGAAAATTCTAATTAAATCCCAGCTGAAATATATATCCTTTCTATTAACATAGCCATGCCTTTTCTTTTCTAGCCGCCGCTCAGATTTCAGACTGAGTCGCTGAAGTTCATTTTACACAACTGAGCGCTGTCGTTTTTCGTTACCGTTTAGAGACGGGTCACAAACCAACCACATTTTAATCTAATGTGTTGTGCGAACTCAGACCTTTTGGTTAGTTTATGCTTCCACGCGTCGTGCGAATCCAGAAAATTGATTAAAATAAGCCACCCTCTAGTCAATCATGGGAACGCACGTCAAACGAGCAAAGCCAAGACGGTACGCCCCCGCGCGTACGAAGAACTCAAGGCCACATCTACTTCCGTACGACGATTTTCTCTCTCGTCTCACAGAACCGGAAGTGACGTCTCGCCTCGCCGGCCAGGTTCCCAGCTGGCGTTTTAGCCGTTAGCGGTGGCTACTCGTGGCAACGGCGATGGAGACTGCGGGGAGTCCCGGGGAGCGCTGGGCGCCGGTGGGCGCGGTAGCCGAAGTCCAAGCTGGAGAGGAAGAAGTAGGGGAGGAGATCGAAGCCGAGCTGGGGTCCCCGCGGGCGCTGAGGGGGGGGCCCCGCCGCCTCCACTCGGCGCTCTTGGCTTTAGCTTCACACTTCGCCCAGGTCCAGTTCCGGCTCCGGCAAGTGGCGCGCGCCGGCCCAGGACAGCAGCAGCGCCTCCTCCGTGAGCTCGAGGAGTTCGCTTTCCGCGGCTGCCCCGGTTCCGGCCTTGGCTTCGCGGCGGCGGCAGTGGACGGATTGGGCGGTGACGCCAAGGTGAGCAGAAGCCGGAGGGTATCGGCTTGGCAGTTCATCCGAAGCCGTAGCTGCGAATCGGAAAGTTGCGTGGTCCTGGCCCTCCTCCGCTCTGATCTTTCGAAGAGACATTAGGCAGACTTCGTTGCATAATAAATCTGGTCTACTTTATGCATGATAGATGTAAATCCGGAGCCGCTTGGGATAGCAACAATATGTTGTATGTTATGGTGCTACAAAGATTTCCTGGAACTTGACTTTGTGCCATGCATAATTTACCTGCCACTGGAGAATATTCCAGTTACTTAAAGGTCTTGATGTTAGTATTTAGAAGCACAGAGTCGTTTTCCAGCCCCATATTAAACACAGAACATAAAGGGAAACATTATTGAAGGATGCAACCACTCTAGCCTTTCAGAAACAATCTCTTTCTGTCAAAGCTATTGAAATCAGCACTAGAAGAGAAGAGATTGTTATTATGATCTTCCTAAAACTGACACCCTCAAAAGACAGAACTTAAGTAACATAGACCCATTCTGGTTTTCCTGGTGGGTGTGTATCAACAGTTTCAACACACTTGAGACATGAAATGTTATAAGTCATTATAAAGCCAAACTTGTAGTTTTCCACTTACTCCCTTCAAATTACTGACACTAATATTAATCACTAGAAAATATTTTTGTCAGCCAGTACAAATAAAATGTATTGTACCAACAGACTTATAGGACTTTCTCTTTTCAAAATTATTACTTGAAGATATGATAGTCCAGTTTGTTTATTTTTAAAACTTTGTGATTAGTAAATAAGCAAGAATCCAGTTTAGTAATACAGATTTCTGGGGAATTTTAAATTACAAAATTTTCAAGCATCCTTCATTATTTGGGATTTGATTGAAGTATAATCCGGGAGTAGAAAGATATAAATAATATCCATACAACCGAGGCAGCATCAAGCTTGGAGTCTTATCTTCAGTATCATGCCTTTTAGACTTTTGCTAATCCCTAACAAATTGTCGCTATATCAGAGCATTTGCTCTAACTAGATCTGATGTATTGTTTTTGGCAGTCACTGACAGTAGATACAAAAGATTCCCTTCTGTGAACACCTCTGCCTGTGTGACTCCCACACTGTAATGGATGTGGGACATGTCCTTCTGTACAGGTAGTTTAGTGACTGTTACAACAGTGATGAAAAAGTAACTTTATGCCCAATAACATTTATGACCTTCATAGGTGTGTAAAACAAAGGAAAGCTGAAGGAGGATCATAAGCACAGTTGTGGTTTCACTTAGCGACCACTTCACTTAATGACCAAGTTGCCAGTCCCAATTCTGATCGCTAAACAAGAACTACCTGTAATTTCTATGGGGACTTAATTAGATCCCTCATAAAAGAATTCCCAGGTAGAGATGCTGAATAGCACATCATTTTTCTTCTGGCAGACCACAAAATTGTTGTTACCCACAATATTGCTAAATTTTGTCTAGCTGCCATGAAGCCACAGCAGTGAATATTGTCCAACATGGCCAAACCCTTTTAAAACATTTACTCTTCCTATAGATTCCTTGTTGCCTCTTGTATATGCTAGTCTATGACAGTAATAATGAAAACATACAAATATAGAAAATAAAAGACTATTCATCATTACTTGGAGCCAAGCCTCACTGATTTAATGAGACTTGCTCCCAGGTAAGTATGTTTATGACTGCAACCCAAGTATGGATGTTTGATGTCAAATGCAGTAAACTAAGAATATCTGGAATATGAATTGTATATGATTTATAATTATATCAAAAGTGTTTCCAGTTCTCAAAAGTATTTGCGCTGAAATATTTATTAACATTGGCAAAGCATACATAATTCTAGTTTTAATTTTGACTAGTCTTAACACTCTCAGTATGTTAGTTTCCACCTCAGATGTCAAAGCTCAACTCAAAAAAGCCCCCAAAGTGGGTGCTGGGATCAAATCAGAAAATGTGTTTCTGAAAACTCTCCAAGATCTGGGAAATCTTTGAGATTCTAGTACTAGATCTTTTTTTATTCATTAGCGTTAACAACATCTGCAAATGACTGTTTACCTAACAATTGTCTGTTGTATTATGCATCTCCTTACTGTATATAAGTTCTTACACACTGTTGCACTAGAAAGGCATGGTTTTCTGAACTGATCCACAGAATATAATGTGACTGTCATTATATTTTCTAGGTTTTAGCTGTAGGGCATCCTTCCCTACCTGCCCCTTCCAGTGATTATGGGTTACAGCTCTTGAGACTAATGGGAGTTGTGGACAGAAATAAGAACTGGAGAAAGATGCTCTAAAGGAATGTTGCAATTTCAATTCAGGATTGACTGTTTTATGCAGCAAGAGATAGCTGTTAGCTCTGGAATGTACACATGGTTTCTTTGGAATTTTATTCTAATTCTACTCTTAGTCAGTAGGAGTCTGGTAGCATCTTTTCTGATTAACAAATTATATGAAAAAACATAGGCTTTTGTGAGCTGTAGCTCACTTCATCAGCTGCATAGTGTGACAACTGATGAATCTAGCCACTCTGTGCAGTTGATGAAGTGAGCTGCAGCCCCTGAAAGCTTATGCCTTTTAATAAAATTTGTTAATCAGAAAGGATGCTACCAGACTCCTCCTGAGTTTTTGCTCCCATACACTGACACAGCTGTCCTCCTACAATTACTCTAATTTACAGAGAGATACCAGATGATTTTTTTTTCTTTATTTCAGAATGAATTTGAGAAGCAAGAACAGCTAGAAGCACGGAAGGAGAAACAACGGGAACTCATTCTGCAGCTCAAGGCACAGTTGGATGACTTGGAAACATTTGCCTACCAGGAGGGTAGCTATGATGCACTGCCTCAGTCTATGGTCATGGAGAGACAGCAGGTAAGACTCATTGGCATATAGTCAGGCGTAATCTTCATTTGCCTATGGAGGGGCACTTTTTAACTGAGCCATTTGATCTTTAATCATTTTGGGAGGAGAATCCTTGGGTGGGGTGAGATTAACCCTGATTTGTTCTCACTGTGCTTCACAGGTGATTATTGAGGAGCTAATCAAGAAATTGGACATGAACTTGAGTGAGGACATTGCCTTGCTATCCCCAGAGGAGTTGCGTCAGCAGGTGGATGCTGCTGTGGCACAAATTGTCAACCCAGCACGTGTAAAGGAACAGCTGGTGGATCAGTTGAAAACCCAGATCCGGGACCTTGAAATGTTCATCAATTTCATCCAGGGTCAGAAAACACAAATACTTTACATACTGGGCACAATCCATGGGGTTGGCTAGGAACCAGATCTGAAAGGAAACATGGAATGTATTGAGGTTCTGGACTGAATTGTGATACTAAATTAATACGAATATGTACTTCAGCTTAAGACATTAATATGTATTGTTTTGTTTGTTCTTACTAAAATTAGAAGAAAAATTAGAAGAATGAAGTCCTGTTTAATAATTTTTCAGTGGGATGGTTCTTCTCCTGTCTTGCAGGGGGGAAAAGCTAAATTCCTCTGGAACCTGAATATCCTAGAGCATTTATTATGGCATAAATTTTCTTAGGATTTGTTGTAATGGATTCTAGTCTATTTGTTATCCTAAGTTTGCAGATTAGGTTCTGTAATGTTGTCTGAAAAGATAAGGAGATCATGGTCATACCAGAATTTGTTGCAGAGTCTGCTTA